AAAAAATTTTAGACTGCTGCTCCAACTCTCTCATTTAATGGATGAGAAAGCCAAGGACCAGAGAGTTAATGAATTGACTTTAGATTACAGATCTAATTAGTAAAGTGTGAAGATCAATACCTACTAATGTTTTGTAGTCCATTTTTAAGCCCGTTTAAACGCAAGCCATTAATAATGAGAGGCATCAGAAGATGTTGAGCAAGAGATTTGAGTTGTAGGAGTGAAGACAGTTTCCCTTCCATCCTCTGAAGGTTGGCTGAAATGAACTGACAATAGAGAGATTAGCAGGAGAAAAAGCATACGATTTGTTCATGTGCAGGGGGTTGTTGCAAGAAGCTAATCACCCAGTAACCCAATGAGATTAGAAAGTTATACAGAATTTTCATAGGGGAGGAGATGGGTGAGTGGAGGGATCATAAATAATTTTCAAGAGACTTGAATGGACTGAAAGAACAGACTATAGTTAGTAAACAGTTCTCTATGGAAGCTGAGAGGACCAAAGAACAGACAATTGCCGTGACCCAGTGGGTCTGGGTGTGGTGGCGTTCTGGTAGAGGGACTCTCAGGGAGGGGGTGAAGACAGTTGTGCGCCTTTCTTCATTATTCCAATCTTCGGTGATATATGGCAATTTCAGAGCCAAGCCTCTTCCAGCACCTACTCATCTCCCAGTGCTTTTAATTTAAAAGAATCAGCACACCAGGCATTCGTACCTTGGGGTGGATGGTCCCTGGGCTCCAGGTTGAATGTGGAACCAATATTAAAGCCGCAGAACAAGGCTTAAGTTAGAATCTTTCTACCTTTGTGTCTCCCAAGGAATACAAGTAAGAATTGATAAGAAAGGTACACAGGATTGATACATGATTCACAGACCCGTGTTCATCTTGGAAGACAGATTCTAAGGTACAAAGAAAATGGAATTATCTGATGGCCAGAGTATCTCTTCTCATTTGTCACATGATGTACTTTTCAGTACTTTATGGTAACCAGTGTCACGCCTTCATCTGACACCCTGAAGTTCTTTATTAA